ACAGAGACTAGGAGGGGTAGTGTCCCATTCAGAGGGGAAAGATGCAATCCTGGGGAGCCCTTTACAAATGAGAGAGCCCATTCACATGGGTGGGGGCAGAGGTAGGGTAGCCATGCTGTAAGCAGCCTGAGGCTCTGAAGCTGCCTCCTAGGCTGATCCAGATCTCTCAGCTCTGCCTACTGCAGCAGCTGGCAGTAGGACCTGGTCTGTATTGTGCCACCGGAGGGGGTGGGGTAGGGAGCTGGACAGTCAACTGACCAGTCCGTATACAGGACTCCAAGTTTTGTGCAATGGCTTGCGGAGTCACAAGACAGTTAACCATTTTCTTAACCGTAAGTGGTTTGTTAGCCTGTAATGACAGGTCCCTGTTGAATCACTGTGACTAAAGGAAGAAAGCAGGACAGGCAGTATTTCAAAACTGCCACGGAAACTTGACAAAGCAGCAGCAACAAAATCCACTCATGCATCATTGCCATGATGTTGCCGTTGATGGAAAATCTAGTCATAATTTACTCGCTTGCCAAAATATTGCCCACCCTGCTGGAATCACATTCTGCAAGGTGGAGTCTGTTCCATATTATTTAAGACTTTGTTCAAAGATTATCACATCAAGTTTGATTCTTATATTACCTCTACCTGGAGACATACTGATTTATATATATATTTTGATTTATAACAGTATCAGCTAAGGTGTGGTTTTTTTTGGTGGGTTTTTTTATGGTTTTTTTTAGTCATAAAGCTTTTATAGAATGTTAAAATTCATCAGAATAATCTAGAGGTGTAAAATCCCTGTTAATCAGTTAACAGGTTAACTGACTAAGCGACATCCTAGGCCCCCAGCCCTGCACTGGGACAGCTGCAACCGGCTCCCAGCCCCAGTGCTGGGCCTGGGCTTCCAGTGGACAGACACGGCTTTGGATGCTGGAGTAGGCCCATCCACACTGCCCACCCGCTCTTGCGCAAGAAGATTTACAGTAAAGCGTGGTAGAAAGGGACTTCTTGTGCAAGAGCTATGCTCTTTTCTAACAAGTGTAAACTCTCTTGCGCAAGAGGTCTTGCGCAAGATGGCAGTGTGGTCCTGAGGCAGGGTTTTCTTGCACAAGAAAGCCCTATGGCTAAAATGGCCATCAGAGCATTCTTGCGCAAGAGAGCGTCCACACTGCCATGGATGCTCTTGCACAAAAGCATATGGCCATGTTAACGTGTTCTTGTGCAAGAGTTCTTGTACAAGAATCCTTGCGCAAGATATTGCGCAAGAACCTGCCAGTGGAGACATAGCCTAAATGTCCCATAGTTAGCTTTTGATGTCATTTGGATGTTGAATATAATGGCCCATCCAGTTCGCATCTTTGTTGAAAATGTATTTGTTTTTCTTGCAGCTTGATTCAAGGCCCAGTGAGGGTAAAGATACTCATTCCATCAACTTCAGTGGATTTTGGATGAGGCCTATGATTTCTAAGTTTAAAAAGCCATTTTAATAGCATCTGGACTGTCAAAATAAACAATGGGTTGAAAGGAAAGTGTTGGTAAAAAGTATTCCACAAGATGGCAGCCTTACCCATGTAAAACACCATTTAAATTACATCAGCGTTGCTGTGGGAACCAGGGGATGAAATAATTAAAGACAATGAATCCTTCCCCAAGGTAACCAGGATTTTCAGGCTATTTTAGATAAAGGGCATTTTGAACATGTGCATGAAAAAGAAGCAGCAGGCTGATAGTTTGCCAGAAATAATATTTATTTTCCCCCGATAAATGCAGTTCTTGTGGCCTACAGATACAATACAAATTAGAGTATGTACATGCAGTGCAAATATCATCTGAACCACTATCTCTTGAAAATAATATACCTTCTCAGTAAGGATGTCAAATTTCGATGAGCTGATTGAGTAGTTGATGGAATTTCCATTGATTGCTCAATTAGTGAATGGGGGGGGGGAGGTACAGCGCAGAACCTGGCGTGAGCAGGGACTGCTTCAGTCCCCGCTTGCACTGAATTCCCTGTTGCACCTTCCTTGTGCCCCTCTCCCTTGCACTGCAGAGACAGTGCTGTGGGGAAGCAGCACAGACTCCTGCTCTTTAACCCCTTGCTGCCTCTGACATAGAGGCAGCAAGGGGGGGTGGAATGAGAGTAGTTGACTTGACTACCCCATAAGCTTAGGCTTATCAGGTAGTTGACTATTCAACTACTCTTTGCATCCCTGTTTCCCAGTCATGTCAAAGAAATGACAGGTAGGGCTAATAAAGTTCCTGGTGGATTAACAAACAAATTCTGTCAGTTCTAGATTTGAGGGCAGCTCCCCCAAGAATGCTCCAATCTCAGAATGCAATTCTAAAATCATCAGATGATAATTTATAGTGAGATATATTTATATTTAGTGAGATGATTTGACAATGTTTATGTTCCTATTTAAGTGTAAAAATGTAATAAGAAAAGCAAAAAAAGATTTTGAGTAACAGCTAGCCAAAAACTCTCAGAGAAATAACAAAATGTTTTTTAAGTACATTAGAAGCAGAAAGCCTGCTAAAAAACCTGTGGGTCCCCTAGACGATGGAGATATAAAAGGAGCAATCAAGGACGATAAAGCCATTGCGGAGAAACTAAATGATTTCTTTGCTTTAGTCTTCACGGCTGAGGACATCGGGGAGATTCCCAAATCTGCACCGTCCTTTGCGGGTGATGAATCTGAGGAACTGTCCCGGATTGAAGTGTCATTAGAGGAGGTTTGGAACAAATAGAAAAACTTAATGTTAACAAATCTCCAGGACCAAATGGCATTCATCCAAGGGTTCTAAAAGAACTCAAATGGGAAATTGCTGAACTATTATCTGTGGTTTATAACCTATCCTTTAAATTGGCTTCCGTGCCTAATGACTGGAAGGTAGACAATGTGACACTAATATTTAAAAAGGGCTCTAGAGGCGATCCTGGCAATTATAGACCGGTAAGTCTAACTTCAGTATCGGGCAAATTAGTCAAAACAATAGTAAAGAATAAAATTGTGAACCATGTAGAAGAACGTAAATGGACAAAAGTCAACATGGTTTCTGTAAAGGGAAATCCTGTCTTACTAATCTATTAGAGTTCTTTGAAGGAGTTAACAAACATGCAGACAAGGGGGATCCAGTAGATATAGTATACTTAGATTTTCAGAAAGCCTTTGATAAGGTCCCTCACCAAAGGCTCTTGTGTAAATTTCATGGCCATGGGATAAGAGGGAAGGTCCTTTCTTGGATTGAGAACTGATTAAAAGACAGGAAACAAAGGGTAGGAATAAATGGTAAATTTTCAGAACGGAGAGAGGTAACTAGTGGTGTCCCCCAAGGGTCAGTCCTGGGACCAATCCTTTTCAACTTATTCATACATGACCTGAAGAAAGGGGTAAGCAGTGAAGTGGTAAAGATTGCAGATGATACCAAACTGTTTAGGATAGTCAAGACAGAAGGAGACTGAGGGATACTCCAAGAAGATCTCACCAAACTGAGTGATTGGGCAACAAAATGGCAAATGAAATTTAATGTGGATAAGTGTAAAGTAATGCACATCGGGAAAAATAACCCCAACTATACGTACAGTATGATGGGGGCTAATTTGGCTACAACAAATCAGAAAAGGGATCTTGGAGTTATCGTGGACAGTTCTCTGAAAACTTCCACACAGAGTGCAGCGGCGGTCAAAAAGGCAAATAGGATGCTAGGAATTATTAAGAAAGGGATAGAAAATAAGACCCAGAATATCTTACTGCCCCTGTATAAAACTATGGTACGCCCACATCTTGAATACTGTGTACAGATGTGGTCTCCTCACCTCAAAAAAGATATTTTGGCCTTGGAAAGGGTTCAGAAAAGGGCAACTAAAATGATTAGGGGTTTGGAACGGGTCCCATATGAGGAGAGGTTAAAGCGACTGGGACTTTTCAGTTTAGAAAAGAGGAGACTGAGGGGGGATATGATAGAGGTCTATAAAATCATGAGTGGTGTGGAGAGGGCCGATAAAGAAAAGTTATTTATTAGTTCCCATAATAGAAGAACTAGAGGACACCAAATGAAATTAATGGATAGCAGGTTTAAAACTAATAAAAGGAAGTTCTTCTTCACACAGCGTGTTGTCAACCTGTGGAACTCCTTGCCAGAGGAGGCGATGAAGGCTAGGACTATAACAGAGTTTAAAGAGAAGCTAGATAATTTCATGGAGATTAGGTCTACAAAACGCTATTAGCCAGGGGATAGAAATGGTGTCCCTGGCCTCTGTTTGTCCTGGCCACTGTCGGTAGACAGGCTACTGGGCTAGATGGACCTTTGGTCTGACCCAGTACGGCCATTCTTATGTTCTTATAATGAGGAGGGACGGGTTCTGAGTTATGTAGGTCCCAAGCCATGTAAGCAGGCATTTCTCCTAACCCATGGGTTAGTACCACCCATTTTGATTGTAGAACTATTTTACACTTATTATGAAAACTTAATGATATATATTTCTACCTATGAGTTCAGTTTCCAAGTTAGCATTCAACATCCCTCCTGCGGATGACATTAAAAGAATTTTGAATGTAAGGTCAGCATCTCTGCTTTATTGGTGTTCTTTCATTTTCACTGATTCAAATGAATATCTTTCATGTGACAAGTTCTTTCCATCCTTCCCACCAACATGTTGCCAGAAGGAAACGTGATTTTGATAAAAGTCTCAGTCCCGCACTCCTGCATCTGCTGTTACTTACAGGCAAAATTGATGCCAAATAAAGTTTTTACAGTTTTGCATATGCAAAATGGGAGTATGCTGCCCAATATCTCTAGAAGTTGAAATCTAACCTGTTTTTAAAGTCTCATATTTCCTCCTCCTTCACAAAGGGCTTTGATATTAATGTTTAGTTCTTGTCCATTGCTGTACCCTTGTTAAGTTTCTAGTACAGCATAGGCTTTTGCAAACCTTTCTTCTATTGTATTTGGGAGCAGTGTAAACTCTCATGTTTTGTGATCACTATTTTTTAGCAAAAATTTCAGTGATGTAATTTCCACCTAATTCTTTTCCATTTGACAAATGTTTCTGGGGAATGCCATCTTCATGATCTTTTTTTCTGCAGGAGTCATAGCAGTGTGGAGAGTTGTTTAGTACATGCATGCACTCTGCAGCCATGCTGGACTCAGAGTCCCCTGATGACTCCGGGCTGCTGCTTTGAAATGCCACACAGAACCCAGGGGCAGCTGGTGACTCCCCAGCTGACTATGGGATCCATGCGGCATTTCCCCAGAACCCAGGGTCATCTGGGGACTCCCCAGCTGATCCCAAGTTCTGCGGAAATGCCACACAGAGCCCGGGATCAGCTGGGGAGTCCCCAGTTGACCCTGGGCTCCATGCGAAACTGCCGCTTTGAAACACGGTGGTGGCATTTCAGAGGGGCAACACCACACAGCTGATCCTGGGGTCAGCTCCTTGTGGTGCTGCTTTGAAACGCCGCACAGCTGAGCCCAAGATCTGTTGTGCAGTGCTGCCCCTTTGAAACACTGCCATGGCGTTTCAAAGCGGCAGCGCTGCACAGAGCCTGAGTACCGGCTCCATGCAGCACTGCTGCTTTGAAGTACCTCCTCCTCCCCCCACTTTGCTGCCTCTATCTGATAGATAGAAGGGGGGAAATCGACTAGTCTAGTACCTAACATCCTTAGACTGTACTTGATGACCTCTCGAGGTCCCTTCCAGTTCTAGTGTTCTATGATATGTGTGGCTCCCTTGGTATCTTATTTATTTTATCAATGTCATTTTGTCTTCCTTCATTTTTAAGTCTCTTACAAAATACTGTATAGGTCAACTGCTCTTCTGCACTTAGTTCTTAGAGCCAGATTTGTATTTCATTGACTTTACAAATGCCTTATATTGGTTAATTAGATCACATGCCTGCACCTTCTTTGGCCAGTCATTCTAAATGGAGCCTGTCTTTTACTCAGGAGTTTAATAGTTCATTTTTCTGAAGTTTAAATCAGTCAGTATATGAATCAACTGATCCATTGTGTTTGATTACAGTTTATCACAAACTTTGTTCCTGGCATGTGTAACTCTCAAATGTATCCATAATCTGTCCCACAGAGAGAGAAAAAAACTGTGGGGGAGATGTCATTGTTTGCCAGATAGGTATTTAAATTAATTTAAGCTTATGCTTTTTTCCTGTGAGATTTCTTTGCAAATTGAGAAGACATGAACAAAGTATTTAAGTATTTACTCCATTTTTGCATTGATATAATTCTAGCTCAGTGTATTTAATAAGCAGTCTTGATCAGAGTGCTTAACTATGAAATCTTAATATTCTATTTGTGGAGGCTTGTATATGGAAAGCATGTTCTTTTCTAAAATAGCTATAGTCAAACCTTGCTAATTACTTCCTCAACAGTTTGCACATACACAACTGCATTATTTAGCTACTCTCAAAAAATTTAATAGAGTTACTGTCATAAAATATCTTAGGACGTGGTAAATATACTAGAGATTATTTACTAGAATAAATATAAAAAGCAAGTTTGGTAAATCAA